TATTCATTCCAAAATTTCCTTTGCCTACCTAAGTCTATTATTAGTTTTGATTTCATTTAAAATCTGACAGTATAATAGACGTCCAGTTTATTTAACTGAAAGACGTATTAAAAAATTTACCTATAAATATTATTAAGATATCAAAGTGTCTCTCTATATATATCATATTTATTTGTTGTGTTATTCACATTGCAATCTTGTAAACATATTATTGATAATAAATTTTGTTAATGCTTGAATGTCAATGCTAACGACGTATTAATAGTTCTTGCTTCTCATCGTCAGAAATTTAAATATGCTCGTTAATAGCTGTATCGAGTACACTATGATTTATGTATTAGCGTACATAATCGCCGACTATTTCTGGCCCGTTTAGTGACAGGATAAGGTGGATAGAAATAAATCTTCATTAAGTTTTAAGGTCGATAACTTGGGACGACGAGTGCGCGTTGTAGAAGGAGCGTAATAAAAGCGCTCGCAGGCACAGAACTGAAAGGGAAAATGACATGCGAGAACAAGTTTTCGGATCGAACCATCGAGCGACAGCCAATAACGAACAAGTTTTATGTCACGAGCAGAACAGGAGATAAGACGATAGCCGGATTTATTATGAAAGATCAACGCAGGAGATAGCTAATCTAATCACTTAAAATGCGCAACATTTTTCTCTCAAATAAACGCGTCAAATTTTTCTATTTTAGATCAGATTTTTTTAATAAACACAGAGGAAGATTACAAAACAATCTCTCAATTGCACTTATACTTTTAAATTTGATTTTATCGAAGTTTTATGATATTAAAAATAAAGGAAAAAGTCAAATAAATGAAAGAAAATAATAATTTTTAAATTTAATTTAATTAACTTTGCCAAATTAAAAAAACAAAGAAAAAGGTCAAATGAACGAGCAATATAAAGAGGAAAACAATAATTCATCAATATAATATAATAAAATAGTTTATAACAAATTATTTTAAAAAATTAATTTGTTATAAACTGTTAAAACTTGTTAAAAACAAAAATACATTAATTTAAGGTTTTGTCGAGTATATCGAATCCGCGAATTCTAGTTATGGAAATTTCGGAGCGAATAATTAAAGCTAATTGAATGGTCTCGGAAAGGGTTAATTCGTTTGACAATGATATTTTATAAATAGGACTAATCGAATGAAGGAATTCTTCTCCGGTGACGTTTCTCTCGACGTCAATACTTCTAGAATGTTTCTCATTGGAAAACACCAAAGATGATGCATCTTACGTAGCATCCAATTGCATGATCTCTGTTATTACTCTTTGGAACGTGATGAATGACGTTTGCGCGAAATCAGATAAGCGGCGCGAGCATTCAGCATTTCTGCAGAAAAACTGAAAAAAATCTATACACGTACGAGATTTACAGCATCGCTCTGCCGATCTTTCATAAATATAGAGATTTACTAATAGCATCGTGCGGCTAATTAGTTAATTCTTTACCGGATTTTCTCAGCACTACGTACTGACATTTTCCACGAACTTATTTTTTTATTCTTCACGTTAAGTACAAAAAGGTATTGCATAATGTTACAGCTTCGCGTCAAGAAAAGCTCGCGGGGATGATTCACGTAACTAAATTGCTGCGTAATGCTGGGGAGGTATTATAATTAAATATAATTATATTATACTTGATAAGTGTACCAACTGATATCTTTGTCTTATATGGAAAGTTACGAGCGATGATATATAGCTGGAAATATGTAATACAAGTATAATTCCAAGAGTCGTGACTTACTATTAAATATCTAACATAAGTTATGGCGTCTCAAGGAGTTCATTTCGAATCGCTTACACGCTTCTTACGCTTCTTCTTAATTCCCTTACAGAAATCTAATTAATTACTTATAAGTATTAAAAATTGTTGTTCAGTATTTTTATTACTTCAAATAATTATAATTAATTATTATCTTTCAGTAATAAATTGGTCAGATTTTTCTATAAGAATTGATTAAGATATAATAATTTCTAAAGAGAAAGAGAAAAAAGACAAATCTGAATCGAAAATAATTTTGTTGGATTATGAAAATAATTCTGTAGGCCGCTTAAACATTGATGGCAATGCTGCAAAAAATTTTAATATTCCAGTAAACAATTTTTTAAGTGCTGTACAAAATTATTTTCAGATCTATATCTAATTCTTTAGATAGTTCAGCAAAACAATTTTTTCCGTGTTGTTAGCAATCATTTAAATCTATTTGTGTCATTCAGTGCAAAATATAAAATATTAATTTTGTTGTATCATTGCGAAACTTATTAATAATTTGATTAATTGATTTTTTATTAATGACTGTATCTTCATCAACTTATCCGTAATAGATAACCGTAATAGATAAATAAAGAGTATATGACATGAATATTTTTTTCCTTTTTTTTTGTAATCGCGGAAATGTGATGTTATATGTATTATAACGTGTTTATGAATCAGGTCTAATTTACACTTGCCGTTTTTTTTTATTAACAACTAACGCATTAATCTTTTAGCGAAAAAAACCAACAGCTAAAAAAATAGAAATTATTTATAAATTATATTTGTACTTTATAGATTTTTAGCTAGCTTTTTTAGCTGCTTCTATAAAGCATTGTATAATCAGACCTTAGTGATCTGTGAAGTGCAAAAAGAAAAAAAAGCCACAACACGTGTTCGCACACATTTATACATCGCGTAAAGACGTTTGTACGATAGTATATTATAAATAGAATAGTAAATTATATTGATATATCTCTGAGGCGACCGAGTCAGCGGTCATTTTTCTGATTACTGATTTTTCTGATGAATGTACGTAATGACCTAAAACATTTCGCATGGACACATGATATGTATCGATTGTACTGGTCATCCACGATTAATGAAATAAACGTTACGTATAATTGCGAATTCGTTTAGATTTGAAAGACGACGTTCTTTCTATTCGGTTTTTTTTTTCTAACGAAAGCTCGAGGAGTAAACGAAAGTCTTTTATATTAATGAGACACCCTGTATTAATTCGCGAACGCGGAACCTGACCGATTGATGTATCAACACGTTGATTGCCTCATCCTCGCTCGGCCTTGTGATGAAAAAACGCAGCGGATAACTGTATTTCAAGTTTCCTGCGATTTCTCGTTGCTTAAAGGTACCGCTAAGGTGCACGTCGCGCAAATCCTGACTAGTTAAACCATAAAATGTGTCGAATATTTTATAATCGTGTCTTGATTGTAACAGCGTTTAACGTCGCATTTAGCAGCTGTCATCAATTTTAAGTGACACTTTAATAACTGAATAATTAACAATTAAAGCTGTCATGTACAACCTCGAACAATAAATCGTATATAAACATGTTAGTCGTAAATTAATACGCGTTACCAAAACTGTATCGTAAAAATGTAATCTTCTTGAACCAAGGATAGATTTTGGATCCATTTAATTATCACTTAGTTATAAATCACTTCGTCAAAAATGTGAAATAATTTTTTTTATGTTACATCTCAGTTTTGAATTATTAATAAAATTTTATGTTAAATTTTCAATATGTGTAAGTATTAATTTAACATGATATGATTATACTTTTGAGGCTTTCATGAGCTGATACTTTCTATACAAAAGCTATTATACATTTCGGGTCATGTCATTTCTGTTCCTTAAAATTAATTTATGTCTTTTAATTAACATAAATTAAATTGGATCTCACAGATCTTTTAATCTTAGAACATCAGTAACTATATTATAGATTTTAACGTCAACTCTAGAGGGTTAAAGACAATAATTTTTAGCAATATCTTAGAGTACAAAAATAAAATAAAAACTATAAATAAAACTGAAGATCTTTTACAAAAATCCAATACTAATCAATTTAATATGCTGAATCAAAATAATATTCTGAAAAATAGTAATTAATAATAGTAATTAATAATTGTTTTAAGTATTAAAAGCACTAAAAATAATAATACTTTTAATTCTTAGAATAAGTTATTGATTACTATTTTTCAAGCTATACTTTTAATATTCTTTATTAACTTTTAATATTCAGAATATCAAGATATCAAAGTAGTAATTACTACCTTTAGTATTAAATTTTTGTAAAAGTCATTAATGTAATTAGCAAATAAGTATGGAAATACTGTCACTATCTATGAGAGATCAGATCATTAATTGCCGCTAAATTAAAGATCGTTCCGCTCAAAACGACACGTGAATACGAATTACTCGCTGAACTATGCATCATAAATATTATAATTTCGCCATTGCAATTAGTACAGCCGGATCTCCACTGATTTATCGATGTTGCACGACAAGTCGATCGTGGGTGCGAGAGATCCAATCTTATCCTGGCTTCCTTCTCTGTCAGATATGCTCCGTCAATAACGGCAATGAGGAAGGAATACCGCGACCGCGTGGCTACTTTCGTTTTGCAAGGCCTTCTACGGCGCATTAACCCGAACTCGTAGGATTTATTCCGGCGACAAGGTTAAGAATCGATAGAATATTTAAAAAATCTGCTGCAAATGCAAAAAAAAAAAAATCTCTGTCTATGTCAATGTAAGTGTTTTGGTAAATAATTTAATTATTCCAAAAATGTGTAAAAAAGAATTATAACTTTAATCTAGAATCTATAATGGATTTTTCGAAGATCGAGGATCGATTCACAAATATGAAAATATTAAAAGCAGAAAAAAATAAGACTTCAGATCTCATATTAAAGTCTGTAGAAACAAAAAATGCTAAAAATAAAAATACTGAATCTTCAGTTTTTTCTCTCTATTTTTTTTAAAGAATCTTTATCTTAGATCCATATTCATATAATTATAGATCGATCCGCGATTGATCCTCATTTCGGGCGTGTCAAGTTTGAATCAAAATTCATACAATTATATCTTTCAAACAAAACAGAAGCACCGATAGTTTTTTTCGATTTTCATCGGATCTTCTTTGCTTTTTGCAATTATGATTATTGATCGGATGGTGATCGAATCGAAATCACAGCGTGCTTACCTTATTTGAGATCATAGTGTATATGTCTATCGAGAACGGTGAGAGGCTCAACAGCGGCCAAAAAAAGTGTCGCCAATCCACCAGAGTATCGTAGGCGTATATTTGCGGGCCAAATCCCAATTCAGATTCCCACTTATATCTTCCTACACGCCTTTTTGTCACTTTTTCTCGAGATACTAGTCACCCTCTATGTCCACCACCGTTCTTACTCGCAGAATGTCCACGTATAATACCGATGTCGCAAAGGGTGGAGGGTTTTTCCGCGTCGATAGTAACGCACTTTTTCACGAACGTTTCGAGTCTCACGAACGATTTCATTGTTCCCGAAAGAGAGTCACGTAACGCGTAGATTTCTGGAGAGATTCTCGCTCTTCAGTTCGCCACTCGCGAGAATATTTCTCGAATTATTTTCCAACATCGGGGAAAATCGCGCGATCGGTCTTCTACCTGTTATTACAACGCGTCGATACTTGTCGCTCTCCATACTTTCCGGTGCTATGTTCATCTGTCTTGTTGATCAAGTCCTGATTAGTCACGATCAACGTCAATTTAACGCACACTGAGAGAAAAGTATTTGGTATTCGTGACTATACATGATAAAATAATTATATAGTTAGTAACTTTATTTTTATAATTACTGCTATAATTTAGTAAAATAATAATTATTAAAAGTTTTATCAAAAAAATATATAACTAGCACCGAAAATGACTATAAATTATAGTTAGATTTCGTTAAAAGATTTTGTTGAAAAATTAAAATTATTTTATTTTTTTCTCTCAGTGCAAGAAAAAGGAGGTTAGAATTTAATTATTTTATTTTATTAAAAAATTATGAAATAAAAATTATTTCATTTTATTTTTTTCTTAACGCATAAAAAAGCAAGTACGATATCCACAAACATGACAAAATTATAGCACTGTCAACTTGCACTGTATTCATAAATGAGAAAGAGATTTCTCGTAATTAGAACTGTATCATTTCGTGCAGAGGTAATCGAGTCGCTCGCATAGGAAGAACCTTCGTATCGGGGACCGCGCACGAGTACTCTCTCTCTCTTTCTCTCTCTCTCTGATGGATTATAATGTCCGTATCCGTGCCAGTCGGCGGTCGGTCCGGCCGATTTTCTCACGCCCACGAAGCGCGCCCGCAATCCCGCGCAACCGGATCACGTAGCGCGGAAAGGATTTAATTCATCGAAATTTAAAGGAGCTCAATACTGTCCGTTCATTCGAAATGCTCTGTTTTGAGGAAAAAACTCCTCATGATCATCGAAAGCAACACACTGTTAAAAAATAAATTTAAGTTTCCCAGAATTCTTCACGACGCGCTGGTCATCTCCGACTTGGGTTCTCTTCACTTTCTCTTACGAATTTTTTCGAGATTCCTTTTGTGTTCCTTTTTAGGACACAATTCCGACGAAAAATCGAAATCTCGTCAATCGTTTTGGAACTTTTCATGTATCAACATGAGAATGTTCTTAGGCTATAAGACAGGGATAATTGAGTCTCAAAAGAACCGTCTCGACCGAGAAGGTACAAAGAAACAAACGTGGAAATTAGGGATAATTTGGAAGGACGACCGATTTCTCGGGATAATGTCAGGAAGTTACCAAATAGAATCTCGGAGAATAGGCAAATAAATAGTGGACGCACTTAAAATAAATCCTTCGTTATAGAGTAGATATCCGGCTATCTCAAGAATCTGAGGATTCTTCGTATTACGAGCGATGAAAATTTCCGAAGACGTAAGTTCCGATAGTTCCACGAAACAATTTGATCTCGGCGGCACAAAGTGTAGCGCACACGGTTTTCGAGGGAATTCCTCTGTATCTGGGAAGATCTCGTCTCCCTTGGCACCGTAATTCTCGTGACACGTAATTTCTTCGAACAGCACGTGGAGGACATAGATTCGATTTGGGCGATTTTGAGGAATGCACGGCCGTCGAAGCCGAAACAGGAGACCCGGCGACCGCGACGAGCGTTACTGACAGCTTTATTCGCCGTGTCGTGTGTTAGGGTCCTGCGTCAGAGAGCGCGTATGGGCTGAAGCTTGCGAATTCTCCTTCCCTCGCATGGAGTGTCTCATACCCTCGTAGGTACAGGGTACTTAACACAGTTGAACGAGGCGGATCCCTCCCGCCGGGCGACGCGACGTGACGGGGACGTTATCGCTCTCGCTTTGCAGGCCCAGCTTCCGCGAATAGCCTCTACGGTCCACCAGACGACCCGACCGGCCTGAATCTGTTTGCACTGACATAAAATCGCAGAACCGTGTCGCGTCGCGAGACGGAATTTCAGGGGACAGGGTGTTTGGTAAGAAAACGTGAAAAAAAAACAAGATTTATCGAAACAATTAAAAACTTCACTGATCCACCAAATCTACAGCCAATAAATGGACAGTCATTTTTTTAATGTTAAAGTAGCAAGGTTATACAATTGATAAAATTAGTGATTACAAGTAATATCACATTTGTTGCAATACAGCAAATTTATTAATACAGTAGAGATATCTTTCTACGAAAATCAGTCCAATATATGTAAATTTAAATAAATAAATTTAATTTAAATTTTATTTTACTCTTGAAACTTGCACCTTTTTTTTCCGCTATATAAATAAGACTCAGTCAAACTTATCGAAGCAAGGAATTTCACGTTGAACACGTCATTACGTCTTGATGTCGATCTACGTGACAATCTAATGACTAATATTTCTGGTGAAGAACTATCGCTACATTCATAAGAAATTCGATCTCGCTGTTTAGTTTCGCGACATACGGCACGAATATTTTTTTTCATAAAAGATATCGCAATTCGGAAGCAGATTGTCGCGCGCATAGTTAAGGAATTCGAATCTGAGAAGTCCAACTTTACGACACGAGGGAGCGAATGCCTTGTCCGCTGGTGAGTGGCCGCTGAACGCAACACCGGCAGGAAACTATTATACGGGAGTGACTCATGTGTACATTACAGACGATGATCTCGCAAGTCGGAAGACGTGCTCGCGCGCGAAAAGGAGAGAGAGACGGACAGACGGCGGGAATCAAGCACGGGATACAAGCAATTCATTCATCAATGGTTTATCCCAAAGGGAATGCTTGCGCGCTCGCGATTCAGCGATTCTTCTAGGAAACAGGAAGATACATCAGCCAGATGCCTCCTCCCCGCCGAACTCTCGTAGATTGTGTTCCTATTCTGCGAGAGAATAAGGCAGACCAGGGGATGAAAATAATTTGGAACGGTTGTAACATTGCAAGTTTATTTAAAATGAATAAACGAATGAACGAGTTGAAAAATATACCAGTGAGCTTTTGCATTAAAAAGTGCAGTGCTTAAAATGCTTACGTTTAAAGCATCTTTTCTAAAACAAACGTGTTTTAGTGTTTAATAAATTCGTCTCTAGAGGATTAACTATCGTAGTTTCTCACATGAAGACGATTTCATAATACGCAAATTTCTTGTAGGTTAGTGGCGTCAAAATGATTTTGACGCAAGTAGCTTGAACGAAATTGAAATGATAAATAAAATAACAAGTGATAACAGTGGCAATGAAAAATAAAGAGGAGTGAGAAGGAAAAGAGGCTCCGTCTCGAAGCAATCTTGTTATTTTTTTCGTCAGTGATTGCTTCTTGTTGCGAAACGTGAATATACATATCTTCAGTGTCGTACGCGACCACCATCGTCGGCCGTGTCTCTTCCTCTCGGCTTTTGCCGAGAAGGCAGACAGACACACACACTTACGACCGTAGTGAACAACGTACGTACGAAGATGGAGGTGCCGAAGGTGGTGGCTGCGGCGGCGGCGGTGAAGGAGAGCGAGAGAGAATTTCCTTTTGCAGCCTATGTGGCGGCGGGTAGGACGTTATAAATAACCCGCCAGCCTCCCTGAGAACGGAAAGTAGCTCGCCTTCGAGTTCCGTAACGAATTCCCGGGATTGCTTTCTGGATCAGTGGCCGTTCCGCGCGAGCCGCGTGGCTTTCGACCGACGATTCATTAATCGCCGGCGATAAGAGCCTAAATCGCGAAGCATGCGGAGCACGTCGAGTTTCCGATGGATCAGTGATGGTCGTGGACCGATAAACGGAAGGTCAAGCGGAAGTTGCAATCCGAAAATTCTGTCGGAAGAAATTATTGAAAAGGCCCGTAACGTGATGTGCTACGACTGTCATATGCATATTTACATTTGTTTTTTTTTTTTTAAATTATGACATTTGATAAGGTGATATCTTTTTTCTTATTTATAATTCGTACTTGTATTGAGACGATAGGATTATCTTATTTCACAAGAAAGAGTATTTTTTTTTAATGATGATCTGTGGGCGGAAGAAGTAATATAATTTCATTATGCATTAAATGTGGGTATTTAATAAAATAAAATTTCTAGAACAAAATGATTTTTATTGATAATTCTTATTAATATAATTTTATAAATATTAAACTTTAATGGTCAGAAGTTTCACGATTTTAAAAAGAGTGCATACTCTCTTAAAAGAGTTGATAATCCTAGATGAGGATAATTGAAGTTAAGCGAAAGATAACATTCTCAATTATACTTTAATCATAGTGCTTATTCCTTACAATATCGACATAATTCTAAAATTATTTTTTGTTGTTTATAAAAAAAAATATAAAGAAAAAAGAAAAAAGCATGCTTTAAAAAACATACTTTTATTCCTTATACAACCAATTGTTATATTAAAATCGTTATGCAAAATTAATGTTGCAAAATTTTACTAATTTAAAACATTATAATTCAAATTTTGGAAAACTTTGTTTTTTTAATAGTGTCGGTTATTGCAGCAAATGAGCGATATATTAAGGAGACAATTTATATACAAGTACTATGGTATTAAAGTTGATGACAGATATGAAATCATTTAATATATAAAAAATTATAATTGATATAAAAAATGCTAGGATTTATTTTTCAATATCTGAGACACTATTCATAATATTTCAAATAAATACATATATCGATCCGTATTTCTATCTTATATCTTGTTTTTATTGACGAGATTGTTGCAAGTTAAAGGCACGAGCGGTAAAACGCAAGCGAACACCTGCGCGT